ATTAGAAGATAATGAAACACAGAAAACAACAGAATATAGTTATCTCAAGATTTGTAATGATGAATGCTTGTTAGAGTTTGTAGCCTAAACGGCTTAACGGAATTCGATAAAATTTTTTGTACCTGTAGAGTATACTCTGGAAGGACATAGGCTACTCACTTGTTTTTTTTATTTTTCCACGCAGACGAAGTCGCGGGCGAAAGCTACCCTTTTATATATTAATATCTCCACTTTCTTAAAAAGCTAACAAAACCTTTTCCTCGACATTTTTTTCACGGGAGCTAAGATTGAGGGCTACCAGACATTTTAAGAAATAGGTACTTACGTCAAGTTAATTTACATGTTTTCTCGTACAACAATGGAAACATTCTCTAAATTCGTTGACAAATCTTTTAAAATAATCGACGCGACCCCACGGACGGATCGCATCGATGCCTCATTAATTACCATACATTATAATGCTCTCAATTGGTCGTTACCAACTGATTATTATTAGAGCGCACACATTTTAATCATTTAAATCGTTTATCGTATTTTGAACCTTCTCTTAAAGGAGTCAAGACTTACTTTTTATTATCTCTTCTTGTTCTAAATGTGTCTGATGCTGGCGATAATTAATATCAACAAGTTGCTCTAAGAGTTTAATAATTTTCTAAATTTTTTAAATAAAATTCATTAATATTCATTGATGGTCATTTTACGTAATTATGTTAGTGCAATATTGCTGGTTTATTTTCTTTAAAAATTTTGCAGGTATTTTGTTGATTGTTATTTTGACAAAATTACCTTCGGCTATTTAAGGTTATAGAAGAATAAAATTATCTTTCCCGTTGGGATAAGTTACGGTAGATAATTGTCCTAAAATCCTTACCTTATAGAGTATTCTTGTTATGTTTTTTTTTATCATTTCCTATGCATGTGTAGCTTTTAAATATTTTCTAATGAAACTAACTAGAAGCTAATAAGCTTCTCTTACTGGGCCATAAGAGCTTGCCACGCTATATTCTACGCTATTCATATTTAACAATGATGTTCCATCTTCTTAAAGTGTCATCATCTTTCGAAGTTTTGCGATCATTATAGCAACTTGCATTCTTGACACCGCGGCTCCAAAAGTGAACTGGTCTTTCCAAACCACTGGCGTAAGTTTTTAAGCCAGGATATTTTTCTTCGATCTACACTTCGCTTTCTGTGAATTTCGCCTTGTACTGCAGTAATTCATATTTGACAATGGTGTTCTCTAAACTAGCCTAAAGGCTGGAAAACAATTAAAATAGGGGCAAGGAGACTAAAATGTTGACACTGACATATGGTCTCGTCTACTGGCATGCAAGCATCCATTTTACTGACATGTATTCCCGCCCTAATGTCATGTTTTCTTTGAAAACGATTTTATATCTCATATCTATGTACATAAGTCCTTTTCCCTTACAAAAATCTTAATATATACAACGTGTGTATCATAAATTATCTCCCGCCTTGAGTTTGACAATCTGTCAGTTACGTGACACGGAGTTGCCATAAGGAGTTTGAGAACTAAATCAACAGACAGCGACTTATCTATACATGTAATAAAAATGGTGTGTCTGTTTGTTATATCAAAAGAAAAATTCCAAATTTCGTCTGCCTGTCTGTCCGCAAGCCGCGTTTGTTCCGAGTAACCTCCAAAACGGCTGGGCCGATTCTGACCGGACTTTCAGTAAATTGTAGCTGACATGGACAGGCATATTATAGTCTGCATTTTTATCTTAATATTGAATGGACGTAGTCGCGGGCAACACATAGTCTTGTCTATATTTACCATCATTATTTTAACTTTGGCGAACCTGTGATGTTTTTGTTCCAGTCCAGGGTTCAACGACCGATGAGTTTTTGTGACCGAGTTTTTCGTCTAGTTTTTTCCCCAGTAGTTTTCATGGAGCTTCGCAAACAGATGTTATTGTTAAAATTACTATTTTAATTGCTTATTAATGAGATACGAACGTATAATCCACGTATTTTATTATGCTGAAAATTGCAAATTAAAAAAATATTTAAAAAACTCAATATTAACACGGCATATCATATAACATGATTTAATTACATTAATTATGAATTTTTACATTTTATAAGACTAATTATGTTTCATAAAATATGCTGTCATGTCTGTTTATAGTATGGACTTCATTAAAATCCAGTTGTATTTATTTTAAAAGGCAGACAACCTAACACATATGATGTTAATCACACTTCATACTTATGTTGTAAATGCGAAAGTTTAAATGGATGGATCGATGTTTCTTAGAGTTTGTAGCCTAAACGGCTAAATGGATTTCATTGAAATTTGGTATAGATGTAGAGAATAGTTTGGAAGAACACATAGGTTACTTCAATTCGCGTTGTCGCGGGCGTAAGCTAGTTAACCCACAAAACTACCTAGACTTTTTTCCAGAAAGAGAAGCTGACAGTGGTAGATAAAAGGGATAAACCATAAATTTATCGCCTCGGTTTAATTGACTAAACATAAAAATTAGAATCACTGCTACAAGGGACATCTAAAAGTTTTATGATATATAGTAGTACCCACAAATAAATATTCAAAATAGAGTCGCATATCTGCGTAGAATACGCAAGCGTAGAGGGTTCAATCATGGCTTTGTGTGTGAGTAAATATTTCATACATTAATACACTCGTAAGAGTAAATGAAAAGTGATCGGTGACGTCACTAACACGTGATCTGTTGGCTAGTAAACGTATTCTGTTTGAATCAGCAATTGTCTTGCGTGCTCTATTCGGTTTGTTAATTGATGTGGGATTTTTTAAAGAATTTCGCTCCACTAATTTTAGTTTAATGCACTTTGACAAAGTAAAGTACTGTGATTTAATTCATTTACATCTGTACGAAATATATTTGATAAGCATATTCGATGAGACCCGTAAAACGGAAACCGAACCGGTACCTAATGTTACCATAATCACTTCATCTGGACCAATATCGTATTTTCATTCCTAACAGTAATATTGAATCTGTGGTATTAGTGGACAGTAACATTCATAACAATTTTCATATCCTAAGCATCTTAAAATATGTAACGAGAAGTCTTTCAAAGACCATAATCACACAACTATTTTTAAATTCCACAATACAACAGAAATAAAACACTTTACTAGGGCCAAATAACACATCATCAATAATAAATCAATAAGCAACTAAGAGCAGCAATAAAAACGAATGGCTCAATAGATGAGTGTCCAGTGCCCGCGTGATTGGGAGAAAAAAAAAACAAGTGACAGGTGTAGAGGGCGTCGGCCGCGCTTACATCACGATTCGGCGGGAAAAAATTGCGCCATTGATTTGTTAGGTTAGGAATTCGGTAACTGATTACCGAGCTGTAATGCCTTTTACTCCGATGTTTTTTTTAAAGACGTCTTTGGAATTTATGTAGTAAAAAACATTACAAATTATAATACTTTGTGAGCCATTTGGATCAAGATTAGGCCTCATGATCACGCATCGATCAACACGTTTTAATATATTAGACACACATGTATTTTTAACATGATAAAAGCAACGGCATAACTTTTTTACTCATTAATAAAAAAATAAAACTTTTTTTTTTTCAAAATATTAGTTTACGAGTCAACGTAAAAATATTGTTATTTGCGTGAGACTTGTAGTAGCGAGTGTAATCAAGTAGTGAAATCTCGTACACGCTGCACCGAACTTACTTAGGACTTCACTTTTATGACTTTTTAAGTGGCCATTATGACTATAGAGGAGCAAACTTAATGTCTCTATGCGGCTACGAGACGCTGTCACGGCAACTTGGTGCTGCGTTTAAATTATTCTTTAATGTTGGGCGAGTTCTAGTTCAAGTTAATTTATCATCATGTCTGAGTATTGATGGATATAGAACTTGTACGAGTAGAAAGAATAATCTTAACTTGTCAATAATCAGTAGAACTCCTATGCACCAGTTTGCATTGTATTAGGCAAAATTCTTGTAGAGCAATAAAATGAATCGTGATTTAATTCTAGATTTCAGTTCTAGCGAACTTTGACTCTAGGTAGATTTCACTCATGGTCTGTGACAAAAATATACATTTATAGAGCATAATTGCTTATTTTTCAAAAATGGTTTGAATCATTAACAAAATTTACAAGAAGGTAAGTCAATATACTTGTAAGATTGAACGCTCCTCAAATAGGTTAAAGTATGAAATATCTCGGAAAGGATGTGGCGGCATCACATTTTTTTTGTCGTCTCGAGTCCGGCGACTGATGTTTTGTAATACGATATTTGTTATTACCATAATACCAGCTTTGTTTTGACTTTCGTGGTCACAGTTTATGTCGTTAAGGGAAACATAAAGATTTCTGCTAGCTGATGGTTGAAGGAAATTGTCGCTTAAAAGATTCGGAAATTACTTTAAACTGAGATTATGAAAATACAATTCTTGTCGTGGTCAATTTTGAAGAAAGTTGACATTAAAGTGTTACGTGGGATAATCCCAAACACTGAGAACGGAACATCTATATCTATACTATTATAATAAAGCGTAAACATACACTTCTTTGTTGCCTAAGATGTCAGAACTTACAGCATATTTTTGAATAATTCTGTTTTTTAATAAATAGCCCTACACTTACGTCACGCTTTAGGCTATATATTTTCACGCCATTAAACTTAGGGAGTAAATATTTTGGATAAAATCCTCAATGTGGGGAAAAGACCATAAGTTGCTGCCAACATCAAGGAAACAAGATTGCCAAGGTTTGTCATGTCATGTTAGTTTGACATTTGCTATTGATAATTTGACAAATGTAAACGATAAAATAAAATTTTCATAATTTCATGCGAATGTAGCCGCACGGGAACAGCTGTCCATAACTCTCAAAAACTGTTCATCTTTGTGATGATACCTAGACTTTTTTTAAACTCTCGCTACCTAGAATGCTGCATTACGTCTCCGTATTTTTTAAATATGCCAGCTGTTATAGTCTCGGTTTCATTTGCAGGTCTATAGAGCTGTGGTTAAAGACAGGTCGTCGTCACAGCGAGGTGCTGGACGAGCAGAAGTTGAGCGAGGGCCAGCTGCGACGCCCCGACGCTACCATCGTACTATGGCTAAAATGTGAACAGGTTATTCTTCTTTTATATTACGATACATTTATTTATAGTAAAGCATAACTCCAGTCTTTAGTAGCAAGGAACATTGTTTCTTTGTTGCGAGTGGACTGAAGTTGAAGCTATTTTGTTTTATTTCTTAACTAGCTGTTCCCGTACGACTTCATCCGCATAAAATTTTAAATTTTCATTTTATTGTTTACAATTGTCAAATTATCATTTGCAAATGTCAAAATGACATGACATGATGTTGGCAGCTTGTAGTTTATGGTCCCTTTCCCACATGGTTTTTTCGAATTTATTTATCCCCCAAGTTTAATAACGTGAAAACGTATAGCCTAAAGCGTATCGTAAATGTAGGGTTTTTTATTAAAGAAAGGATTATTGAAAAATATGCTGTGATTGTTGACATCTGACGCCACAAAGTAGTGTGTGTTTACGCTTTATTATATTAGTATAGATTTCTCTTACCCTATAGGTTACAGTCTATCTGTAGACTTGAAAGACTCATTACTCTACCCATATTCTCATCAAAAACAAAATTTTAATTTAAACACCACACACTCCAATAAACAAACGAGAACATCGTAATGTCGTAAAAATTTATGATAAACTATTATCGTGGAAACCGCACCTGCATAACACCGTAGTAGGAAACCGTCGCATGGTAACATCTAATGCTATGCGCTTCATTTTTTCTGCTCAAAAAGACAGGTACAAAATCCTTAACCGTATATAGTGCAGCAGATGCAGCGAGCGCCACCTGCCAATCTCTGTCCGCAGGTGACTCTTGTTTACGTTTTTTATCCACATTAATGCCGCTTCATTATTACTGTGCCTCATTTATTATGTTATCAGTTCTCAATTAATTGTGCCCTTTTCCCATAAGTCCCTTTACCTTTAAATAATTGGAAGGTACAGACGCGTAGACAATCATTAATGAGAATTTTTGTCAATAGATAAGATTGTATATCTATAATAGAATTCGTGGTTTTTATGTGTTTGATAATGTGATTTTAATGAAACTCACCATTTACTATATCTTTATGTTCCTGTAGTTAAAATTTTATAACCATCCCAGGAATTGTTTCTGTCGCCTACCGTAAGCTATTAATTACAGTTTAAAGTAACTTTAATACGATTAAATGCATATTTCTCTTATCCTAATTCTTTTCTTTTCACTTTTAATATATTGTTTTGGAATTTCGATTCAGTTAATATAACTATAATTCCTTACAAATCATACATGTGTTTCCAAGGTGGTAAGTAATTGTGCAGTTTGTTTATTGCTGATTTTTGTTTTATCAAAAAAAAATTGAGTCCGTCGTCCCGTGTGGACGTACGCAGAAATTTGTCTGTTTTTCATTCATCGTCTGTTTTTTGTTCGGCTACAAAGGAATTTGCGACGCGTTGTATTTTTTTAATGCGAACGCTCGCCAAATATTGTGACACGACGGCCGCTAATTTTTTATGCATTCTACTGCCGAGACTCTTTTTTTAATTGAGACAAGTTAAATAAGGATGCTTCACACGTACTGTACAAATTTAACAGTAGGGTTACACGATGTTTGCTATAGACAGGTCTGGTGAAGTCTATTTACTTAGCCTGTTCAAGGAACATCAACCTTGTCCCTACGTTATCTCTATCAGCCGTCATATCTGAATTCACTCCCTTCTTTCACACAATCCATCCATACTTTCTTCCTACTTCCTTCACCTTTGTGACCATCCACATTGTAAATTACTTAATTACCATTAATATGTCATCTTAATGAATTTCGCAAATTGCTCAAGTTTTACTTTCTTCTTCTTTTCTACAATAAGTCCCATTTTACTAGAAAGGTTGACAACTTTTCTATAAACAGTTGTAAGCAATTGAAAAAAACTATTATTTGCAACGTTAAAAATAATTTGTACCAACCCTTGGTAACTAATTTGTACAGTATTAACTATTTGATAATCATACGGTTACGAGTAATTTTATACGTATTTATTAGAACAGGTGCAACCGTGCAGAAACGGTAAGCGAAAAAACTCCACGTTCAAACTAGGCATACTGCTCCGACAGGGTCGATGGCATTCGAGCTTTTGTCTGTAACTTTTTTAATATGGATAATGTTTCATAGATAATGGCGGCAACTCTAAAGCGAACGTATAAACGAATTCTATTCATTGCCTTTTTTAATTGTATTTCTTTTGCTGCAAGTCTGGAAAGTTTTTTTTTTATTGTAAATAGTGAAGTGAGTTAAGTTTACATTTGTGTATAAAGTCTAGATTCCACTGAATTATTGTTAAACATAATATAAAAACTGTTTTTACCAATTGCCACTGGTCTATTTTCTCAGTCATTGTCATTAATGGTTATTAAAAAGCCTTGTAATTTAATTTACTAAATCTACACTAAATGTGACTAAGTGCATCTTTGTACAAAAGCAACCATAACAATTAGGGCTTTATCAAATCGAACTGCAAAAACAAAGATTTCAACTTATATACCAAAAAAGGTAATCTCATTATATTCTACCTAGGATCATTACCGTAACAGAGAAGTTTGTTTATAAAATAAAATGCAAGTATATAAATAATACATCAAGTGTGACACTAATAACGCCAGTTGTAAGAATTTCGCACTAGCATCTGTTTGGACGCAAGGTGCTTGTATAGGGCGCGGTACAGTCGGCAAAACTGGCGGTCGCCCACTTTAAAAGCTACAATCGTTTAAACATTTTGAAATGAGTCGTAAAAGAAAAATCAATACAGATTGTAAATGTGTCTGTACAAAAAAGGTTAGTGAAACAAGGATAGTTTATTTTTATTATTATCCCTTTGTTTGCACTCACTGCTATCACCATCATACTCCTTATCCTACTCCCATAGGGTTGGTGCAACAAGTCTTTGTCCTCCACATAACTCTATCATCCGTCATCTCTGTCATCACTCCCTTTTTGATCATGACACTTTTCACGCAATCCATCCATCTCTTTCTAGGTATCTAATTAGTTATTGTAGGAATTGGCGGCGAATGAACAAGACAGTTTTAAATTTGGAACACCGCGAATTTCCACGATTGTACAATTGGTATGCTGTACGTTTTATTTGCAATTATTTCTACAACGTAACGTAAGGCATGGTTCAGAGATTATAAGAACAGCTGCTATGTTACAGGTCAGCGAACTGGGGAAATTCCATACCTTATCCGTTGCATTTATTTTATATTCATGCAAATGTCAAAGGTATGTGTATATTAACAGTCGCCGCAGACTACAGACTTATCGGCAGATAATTTTGTCGGGTGCTTAATCAGTATGAGTATGTACAGCACAATACATACATTTTGTTCTAAATTTTTTGACTTGATAATCCGACCAGATCAAACTATCGGCTGATAAATTTAGTCTTTGGAGGTTATAAATAAAATATAAAAACTCACAATAACATCTAAATATTAGTGCTGGGAATTAGACAGGGGCCAAAATACTCGAAATTACAAGTTAACTACATAATAGAAATTGTACAAAAATGTCATAATATTATTGGATATAGATAATGTAGAGATAGGAATGTTTGAAACCAAATATCATTTTACAAATTGTTAATTCAAAAGATTATATTATGCAAATTAAATGTGGGTGATATTTTTAACGAAAAGCCGTGGAAAATGTTTGTATGCCATTATTTAAGATATGTTTGAAAATCAATGTAGTCAGTCTTCCTACACAAGAAATTAAAACAATGTCAAATGGTTCGTGCGATTTTTAAGTATTAGATATTTTTGCACGAGGCCACATGTCGTATTGTTGATATAATTAAATTGAAATTAATGTAACATTAAACTCAAGGGGACTATTTTCGCACAAACACGAAAGTTTCGAATACAACGAGTTGGAAAATGTATAATTATTTTTGAATGCATCAGGGTTAACAAATCAATCTATACTAAAACAATAAAGGGGGAAAAAGATCAAAAACTCTTTTGTTATTAGAAAGCTACAGTATCACTGGATAACATAGATTATATTACAAGATTTTTTTTTAATCTGCCTGAAAGTCAAGTTCTAAAACCAGTAGATAATAAATAATCGAAAGGAATATCAACTCTGAGTACAGAAGAAAATTACTTTACCGATATTAATTATAAGATTAAGTAATCAAAAAGGTCCATTGGGCCCAGATAAATCAGACGTGTTAATTTTTTTAAGTGGAATTTGAAAAAAATTGCCAACCCTAAGAACCCTATCTTCAAGGAAGGGCACGCGCCATGCACCTGCTATGGACCTTCTGTTATACATAATGTATGAATATCCATGTACATAAAAAATATACTCCGTAAATAATCGGAAATTTAAAGTTGTATACAACAATATAACAAAATAAATGCAAAAATAAACATAACGCCTTTTACCAATATTCATCTCTGCAATGTTTATCAGAAATGTTTGCGAAAAAAGTTAATATACGCGTTTCATTTGTTAAACGCCTGTCACTCTACTGGGAATTCATAATGGAGTAATTTCGCGGGTATTCAAATCAATTGTACGGCTTGACTATAAAATGTACAGATTTATTTATGTTGCCCTATCTCGTTTTTACAAGCATCCATACTAAGGCAATTTTGTCCCTAATTTAGTTTTTACTGCTGTTATATTTTTTGCTTGCGTTGTTACTAAAATCGTTTAGTTAAAATGTAAACAAAAAATAAGTGACATAACAGAATTGATATTTCCCGCCATTTTTTGTATGAAATGTATGATTGTGAATGAAGGTATGACCTCTTGAACAACAAATCTCCAAATTGTATAAGTTTTTTACTAGGATTTGCCGTTAAATCCATGCATACATCTCTCTCTTTTACTCCACAATCTTACTTCTTTGTCATGTAACGCGACGCGCGTATGGTGACGCGTCCTTGAAATGTCCCCCCTACCTAGTTATACGAATTGCTACCTAAATTGAACACAAAATGCTCCCTAAACACAAGAGTGACAAGGTAAAGGTGTAAAACACATTAGAATGTG